ATAGAGAAACGGAATCACGGCTGTCGTCAATTCAACGGCGAACGCCGTGGTCGCGGCTCTTCTCGCGCGGCGTGACGTTTAAAAAAGAAAACTCCTACGCGCTCTCGTCTCCCTCCCCCCCCCCCCCGCCCCGTCATCGCGTCACACGGTATGTACGAGACTCCGCGTAACATATGCACGCATCCGATATTGTATCGTAGATCCGTCGAGAAGCTCGCGCGGGCCACTCACCTCGGTGAAGAGTGCACCGGTACCGTGGAAGAGGCACGCTCGATCATTCGCCCCGTCCGTTTGTTTCCCCGAAGCCGATCCGTAGACGCGTCGCAACGAGAATCAACAAATCTGCGGGGGGAAGGCAACTCTCTCTCTCTCTCTCTCTCTCTCTCTCGACGGACACGCCGACTCTCGCGCATCCACTGTCGGACAGCCACTGTCACTCAGGACGGGGGCCACGGACCACGTGGTCCTCCCGAGGAAGACGAAACGAGATTCGCGACTGTGCGAGATCGGGCAATCCCTCCCTCTCTCCCTACCTTGCCGGCGAATGCACTCTCTCTCTCTCTCTCTCTTTCTCTTTGTCGCACCACCGCGCGAGTAGTCGGTCGTTCAGGGAGCACACGGCGATCCGAGCGGCGCGAACGTTGCCGCAAGCTGGGCCCGCGCGAAGCGACGTGAAGTGACGTGCGCGAATTCGGACGCGCTGAAGTACGTGCGCGCCGCTCGAGGAGAGCAACGTCGCACTGCGAGACCGTGACACGGATCGCGCGGCACGTGACGTCGGCGACGACAGAGTTGCGGCGATAATATAGCGTGTGCATGTGCCGCGTATATCGCGGACAACGATGACAGGCCGATTCCGGCTGTCGCGGACTACGCGCGACATCTGTCGCCGATGAGGCGAGCTTGCGCGTTGTTGTGCGCCACTCGGCTCTCTTTCGAATGGGAATTGCGCGGATCGAGCTTTTGCACACATGGACGGAAATCTTCGAACCAAGAAGCTCCTGCTTACGCGGCGGCTTTTAGAACGACAGGTAGAAATCTGGCTTCTAATTAATCGAAAACGTTGCTCTCGACTTGTAAGAATATTTCTCGCGTGCAAATTAATATGCGTCTAATTTGATTATTTAATATTATACGAAAAGTCTGAACAATGGACGACAGCTCGTGATGCATCTCGAAGCACTTGGATCTCTGCTGTTGGCTAAGCTGGTTGTGTAATCGCAGACATGGCCGCTTCCTTGATCAGAACGTGCACGACATTTAGGTGACTATTTCTTTTCCCAGTCACTGTCACGGCGATAAAAGTCGCATCTTCGACATTTCCTGCACAATACGTGCACTCCCTCGTCGCGACGGTATCGCGAGAACGTGGGAGGATTCTCGCAAAAAGAACATAACCTTCCGCGCTGCAATGTTATTAATTTTCTTGCTCGTTAAACGAATATAGAGCTTCGTTGCAACAATTTACATAAGTGCGTGTTATGGTTTAATAGCGAGTGTATCTTCTGTTGCAATATATTGTACAATTTGCAGTTTACTGCGGCTGCCACTCAGCAAAGTTGTCAGAAGCAATAGCGTAAGGAAGTGCGTGCTACACAGTTTGCCTCTCGCGTGCACGCAATGCCAGCGTTACCACACAACGCCACAGTATTTCAAGAGCAACAGGTCGAAGGTGAGTCTTCGGTCTTTTATCTATACGAGAACTCTAGAGATTCAGTCATGAATCTTTTCCTCAAGCGTGAACTCGTGAAAGGCGAAGATTTTCATCGACAAATGTTGAATTCGTTAATTCACTTCTTTGCTTTTCACGTGTTCACGCTAGAGACAAATATTCATGATCGAGCCCCCCGGATCTTGTTATATTAAAAAGCAAAAATTGCAACAGGCAAGACCCTTCACTCTGATCAAACCGAAGAAAAATCTACCAGTCGTGGGTATTTGGAGCGGAATTACGGTGTCAGAGCTGGCCGAGTCCGCAGGAAGGAGCATAGACGATGTCATGAGCGCTATTCAGCTGACTGATTTAAGTCAGCGACGTTACAGGAAAGAAACCCCCCTGGAGGATTCGAACGTGTTGTACAATGTCGTCCGGAAACTCGGGGCAAAGATAAAATTGATCTCTAGACCGGACGGCAAAGAGGAGAAGAGTACGAAAGACTGCAATGCTGTTAAACGGTATTAGATATAGGACAATATGTTCACGCTATTCGCGCAGTATTACTAGGCATTACTAGATATTTTTTTAGCATTAAGCCTTGCTGGGGCATTGTAAAGATAAAATAAGATGATAAAGTAATGCTCGCTGGACATTAGTAGGCACTGGTGTACATAACTTTGGTCGGCGGTTTACCCCTCGTTTTTTTACATTTCGCACACATTGTATTTTATTCGTCAGGCCACCACCAGACGAGTCTGTGCTGATAAAACGTCGTCCAGTGGTGACAATTATGGGCCATGTCGATCACGGCAAGACTACGCTGCTAGATACATTACGTAACACGTCGGTCGTGAAAACGGAGTTTGGTGGTATCACCCAGCATATTGGAGCTTTCAACGGTGAATATTAGAAACGATCTTGTTCACATATTCGTCTGACACAGTTGGACCAGCAAATTTTCTCTAATGTTCTATTTCTAATTGACAGTAACGTTGAAAACGGGGGAAACTGTTACGTTTTTGGACACCCCTGGACACGCCGCTTTTAATATTATGCGAATGAGAGGCGCGCAAGTAACTGACATTGTAGTACTAGTGGTGGCAGCGGATGACGGCGTGATGGAGCAAACCGTAGAAAGTATTAAGATGGCAAAAGCCGCGAATGTCCCGATTATTGTGGCTGTCAACAAGATCGATAAGCCGGAAGCCGATATTGTACGCGACCTCAATATTCACTTCGACTAACAATAGAATCATGTTAAAGCAGAGCAACATAATTGATAACATGTATTTCAGACTAGAACGGAAAAGATGCTTGCGCAACAAGGGATTCAAGTGGAGGCAATGGGCGGGGACATTCAGAGCGTTAACGTATCAGCTTTGCACGGAACCAATCTAGATACCTTGACAGAGGCTATAGCGTTGCAAGCCGAACTCGTGGGATTAAGAGGTGACCCGACGGGATTAGTCGAAGCTGTCGTAATCGAGTGTTCTACCGATCGTCAGCGTGGCAAATTAGCGACAGTTTTAATTCAACGTGGCACTTTGAGGAAAGGTGCATTTCTTGGTAAGAGCAAGACACGTTTCCTTAACCATGAAATACAAAGAAAAATAAAATAGAAAAGAAAAAGTTTTTATCGAAAAAAGAACTAATTCAATTCCACAAGATGAGTTTTTTTATATAAATTTGTTTTCCTTATTTCTGTAATATAATGTAATATACTTCAAAGCTGTTTGGTAGTTTCGAAATATTAATTCAATGAAGTTTTTGTTTCATAATAGTGAGCGGCTTAGCGTGGGCCAAAGTAAGAGCCATGTTCGATCATTCCGGAAATCCAGTTGTAGAGGCTAAGTTATCCGACGCAGTGCAGATTATCGGATGGAGGGATTTGCCTACCGCCGGAGATGAGATACTAGAAGTTGAGAATGAGAAAAAGTTACGCATGGTAATGCGATACAGAGAAGCGGTGAAAGCTACGCAGCTGGCGCAGGAACATAAAATTGCAGCGGACAAAAAGCACGAAGAATATCTGAAAGTAAAATTCTTTTGTAATATGTAGTGCAACAGAGATAAACTGTTCTGTGACGTTTTACCTTACGTGTTTATCTGTTACATGATTGTGTGATGATTGTAGGAATACAAGGAGCATCGGGCAAAGAGAAGAGCACTTGGCAGATATAGGAAGTTATCAGCACCTGTTAAAAATGACAAGCCCGATGATGGAATACCCAAACTTAACGTTATCATAAAAAGTGATGTCGCTGGCTCTGTGGAAGCTATATTAGACGTTTTGAATACATATGGGAGTGATGACAAGTGTCAATTGAGTATTGTCCATTACGGTGTTGGACCTGTTGTGGAGACGGATTTACAAATGGCAGACGCATTTGATGGTAAGAACATATGTCGTGGTGTCGATTAATAGAGGAAAGTCCTCCGATATGAGATAGTAGGGCTTTAATGTCCAAATTCGATCACAAATCTTTTACGATTACACGATCTAATCAATGTTCCGCTAAACAGATTTTACTCCAATAAATTCATGCTGAAACCAACAGATAATGCCTATTTAGCAGACACCTCGCTATCTATTAGGAGCTTGTCTCATAATAGGGGACTTTTCTTTATCATCTTCTATATAATGAAAAATACTTTCAGCCATCATATATTCTTTTAACGTTGGCGTAATGAAAGGCTTGCAACAGGAAGTTAGTAAAAAAAAGATATCAATCCGTCCATACAATGTGATATATAAGCTTATTGATGATGTTAAAACGGAGATAAATAAAAGACTTCCACCGGTTGAGGCCGAAGAAGTGATAGGTATGAGAGATAGGTATGAATCGCAATAGTAATTATAAATTTATCTTGTCCTTTCATTTCTTTACAGGCGAAGCAAATGTACTGCAAGAGTTTCAGATCACAGATAAGAAAAAGAAAGTAAAGGTCGCGGGTTGCCGGTGCGTCAAAGGCAACTTAAAGAAGGACGCAATGTTCCATTTGATGCGCGAACAGGAAATTTTGTTCACAGGTAAAATACTTGATTGAAAATTTTGAAAGAGAAACAAAATAATATTTACTTATCTTTGTAGGAAAACTAGTGTCCATGAAACATCTGAAAAATGAAGTGGATACGATCAAGGTTGACGTAGAATGCGGCTTGAGATTCGAGGATCCCACATTGTCTTTCAAAAACGGGGACGTTTTGATTTGTTACAATACGTATCAAAAATCGCAGGAAACTGACTGGGATCCCGGCTTCTAACCGTATTTAAAAATCGCAAGGTTAAATCAACTAAAACAATCCTATATACTCTTCACTCGAGATAATTATTTGGTACAGGATAAACGGAAATTATGACCGGTATTCATAGTCGGATCTTATATTCAAGACCGTTTTAAGATCATATTTAGATGCTCCTTAGCCAATGAAATGTTCCATACAGTATCTTTAGATAAATTCAAGACGGTCTTCGACATAAGATCCGACTATGAATACCGGCCCAAGTATCGTATTAAGTACAAATTTATTTATTATTGCCTGAGAATCGCATTTGTTTTACATCCTTTGACAATCAATTTCATAATTTCGCTTCGTGAAGGTATCCGATTCTCAAACATGAAATCATGAAATCAAGACAGCCCAACTATACCGTTAAGATTTGTCAGAGTTGAGAGTATCTTCGACAATCCCATCCTTTGCGTGTTTACATTAAACAGAATCAATATTTGAGGTGGTATCTTTTTAGCATATTTCTTTCATTTATAATACATCAAGCAATGTATAGCAAGACATGTTGGTCACACATTAAAATGTAGCTCGTGGCTATCTTGATTTGATCACCCATAAAATCGATCTCTTCCGAATTCCCGCAAAATTTTACTCCATTTCCGAGCGTACGAAGACTAAGCTTCCGGTTTTAGGTCCATTAGATCACCCTGACAGAATATTCGGGCTCGCGTGTAGCACATTAAGAGGCGTACGTCTCGCGGAAACGACGTTGAAGATGCTGATACGCCGTGAGGACGCTACGCTTCTTTTTCAAGAGGCGGCAAGGGGTTGTTTCCTGGCTGGCTACGCTGATCTTCGTATCTAACGGCTCGATAGGAATATTGTCGTCTGGATGCACAAAGAAGGCGATGGAATGACGTCCGCGACCACAGTGTTCTGGCATAACGACGCGATGTCTGAGCGCTGGAAGCTGTCCGCTGGTCCAGTGCGCCAGTAACTCACCAGTGTTCACCAATATGGCACCTGGGAGATGACCTACTCTAGCCCATCTTTCCCCAGTTTGTATTTCGAGGCCACCCTCGCAGTCCTGAAAATATTTTGTCTCGCATAAATTATAAAACATAATTAATTGTAATTATCTGTACATATACGTATGTACATATACGTGTGTATATATATATTGTATATAATACAACGTTACTTTTATATTGACTCGATATTCCTCAATCGTAGCTCATGACACACAGCGTTTAAATAATTTCTGTTTTAATGCTTAATGATTCATTATCTTTTTAATGCGCGCCAACACCTTCTCTGCGCATCTAAATATCCTCACGTTTTATTTGCCAGCGGTTAAAGCCGCTTATCGTGAGACGACTGCGTGCCGTGCTGCGCGAATGAACATGCCGAGATATGTCAGTTCCGACGAAATTATAAAGATACGTGGAATTTATGACGCGTTACGCGCAAAGCGCCGTGAAACGACGGATTCTCTAGAAAATTATTTACGACCTTGTAGCCTGCTGATGGACGGACGACAGCGGGTAGGTAAGCTTCAAGCGCGTAATGTAATGCCGCAATCTGCATACCTGTGCCAACAAAGTGAAAGTGCCATAGTCGCAATGGGCGCCGCATCGGGTCAGTCCTTGTACCGGTGCAACGAGTGGCGGATAGTAGAGGAGACGCATGGTGGACGCGTTGCCAGGGCCGAGTACGTGCGCGTGCTTCGACAGCAGGAAGTCGTGGGACTGCTCCAAACCCACGGACAGAGCCTGCAGTAGCGAACCAGGTTTCCCAACGTTTGTTACATTCTATGTGAAGACTAGACTATTCTCGCCGTTGATTAATAATGATATTCAATTGATTCAAAGATCCGACGTACGGCAAGGCTCTTCGGAGGGAAGCTCCAATCGCGAGGAAATAGATAAAATGATAACGACAGAGCAGAAGACGTTTGCATACAGAGATAAAACAATAGAGAGATCCAGGAATTAATTCCACAAACGACGCGTAATTATTAAACAAGTCGGGGACTATTACGGTAAGAAGCATGGTGGCCAGCTGCTTGAAGTCGCGTGTCAATTCGTCCACCGCCGATCTAAATCCGCGAACCTCATCTTCCGGCAGAATCCGTCCACATCCGGTCACGTTGAAAGCGTGGCGAAGCTCCATCTCGTCCGAAAATCTAATCGTACGAAAGAACGAATTCAATTTGTACAAAATGCCGATGTACTCGTGAGGACGCAATATTCCGCAAATTCGATTAACTTTAAAAAATACACGGAGAGAATTTTCTCTTAAAATTTATCCTGCAAATCATGTGATCGTGGGACAACACGGTATTTTGAAGGACTTTATGAGAGTTTTTTTTTAATTTTACCATACATTTCACTAGTAAAATGTATACTAACAATTGGTATAATTACTAGTGAAATGTATGGTAAAATTTAAAAAATCTCATAAAATTCTTTGAAATGCCGTGTTGTCCGACGATTATATCACTTTCAGGATAAATTTTAAGAGAAAACTCTTGCCGTGTACATTGAAAAGATACTAAATAATTTACGTATGAGCAACATATAACTGTGGTCGTTAATTTTGTGGGAAATATTTTACAGACATAGGCGGAATTCAAGCGACACACGTCACTGCTCAAATTACTATTACGGACCGCAGTTGGTTAAGGAACAGAAGGGAACGTTCATTAAATCGAATTGCGGCGAATTGAATTACGCGAACAATTTGAGAGTGCAATTTTCCAACTTACTTCTCCGTGCCTGGTTTAACGTAGCCGTGATTATCCGGCGAGGCGCGCTCGTATTTTGCTCGCGTTTCGTCCGGCAGCTCGCAAAATGCGTCTAGAGCTCTGTAAGCCGCCTTCATCTGCGAACATACGGAAAATAATGTTCAATTTTACGGAGAGGCTCGCGGTACGTTCGTGAGACTTTTCGCCCCCGACGAGCCACCATTCGGGCGTGAGCGGGACGCAGGACGGAAAAAAAAACCGGATATTTACGCGACGATAAGAGGGATCTACTTTTCGATGAGAATTCTTGTTCCCCGGGAGCGAAGATTCACGTATCACCTCTGTATCTCGACAATCAGTAATCGCGTCTTTCAAATTTCGCGTTACGCTAACGTGCGTAACGCGGGGGTACACATCGCGAAGATATCCAGATCGTTCCGGTAACGCTCGGCAATAAGCGGTATTTCGCGAGCGACGAAATCGGGAGGACATCTTTGACCGATAAGTTTCGCTCAATCGCGGGCGAGTTCCGACAAAAAGAAAGAAAAGAGCCAGAGCGCATCGAGGAATTGAGGTATTTCTAGCATAAAATAAGTGCTTTAAGATTAATAGATAGAATACGATCAGATTACATTAGATAACACTCAATTTCAATGTAAATAAATAAGAGTCTTGTTAATTAAAATTGAATCTAACGTCATCTCGTCATATTCTATCTAATATTTTAAACAGGGATTGCACAATATATAAATAGGATCTAATTATTATCACGGAAATGAAATTGTTATTCGACACAATGGACTATAGTCGGTCAATTTCATTTCCGTTCTATTATTTTTACTAGCGAAGAGGAGACATTCTTGAGTAATTATTGTAAGTAGATTGACCATTCGAAAGCCAAGATATTTCCGATGAAAGTTGACATTATATACCTATATTCTCCGTACCAGGTTGAAGAACAACGTCGTAGTTTTAATTCTAATTTCGAAACTACGTTTACGATATTAACGGAACAAACTACAGTGATATATTCGAAACCAATGTCGGCATAATACAACAATTTCCAAATTTTTGACCGCGTACTTTCGAAAATATAGACGTCTACAAATGTCACAATCTGCAGCATCACCAAGGGTGCGTCCCGTTTCACGCATGATACGCGCGATGCATCGTTTATCCTTCTTTAACATTTGGCGAATAACAAGGATAAATAATGCAGCATGCGCATCATGCGTGAAACGGAACGCACCTAGAGAGACACGGTAGTGTCTCGCGCCAAGTATAAGCGTAGCGAATAAAGCGCGCGCGAGACCGAGCGTGTTATCTTCACGCGAGCGCGCGAGTTGAAAGGCCCTTAGATTTTATATGAATACAAACAGTTGGGCCACAAAAATGTACACAGTTGGAAAATTTGTGTTTTCTTGTTAAAAAAATTCCGGTTAAAATTTTAGTGTTAAATATTTAACACGTTCATGTGATACTTCAACATATTGCTCTTGTGTTAATTTGACCTCAAATGTAAAATTATTAAAATAAGCGAAAAGAAATGTTAAAACAACACAATGTGTACTTATTTTTTAATCTTACACAATATATATCTTGTATATTATCAATAACAAAATTTATCTATTAAAATTTGCAGAATAAAATGACTTATCTGTAAAATGTAAAAATTACATTTAAAAAAATTCATTTTGTCATTAAAAGTATGTTAATTTTACACGAAATTTATCTCAAATTATTTTGAGATTTGCATTTATTTTGTGTGAAAATATTAACAGAGTATTAGTGTGATCATTTAACGTATCCATGTTATGATAAATTAACACAAAAATTTGTGTGGACCGTTTGAGACATATGATATCTGTTAAATTTAACACAAATTTTTCAACTGTGTAGTAACATGTGTTATCATAAGGCCTGTGACTACGATGCCAGAACTGGTCCAAGTTCTAGTTCCGAGAAAGCTAATCAACTTGCAGCTATTCCATAAAAGCTGCAAGTTGATTGGCTACACTTTTCCTGGAACTAGAACTTGGACCACGTTCTAGCATCGTGGACACAGACCTGTATAGAGAAAAGTCCTCTATCATGAGATAGGTTTCTAATATGAGACAGCAGGTTTTCAACATAAAAATTGAATCACCAATCTTCATTCACAACGATTACACGATCTAACAATGAATTTTCCATCAAACAGATTTCACTTTAAGGGCAACAAACGATGAAACCAATAGATGATGCCTATTAATTTAGCAAAAAACCTGCTACCTCATATTAGAAGATTATTTCATAATAGAGGACTTGCCTCTATTAGCATGCGTTCATTGAGTCACTTTTTTATGTGTATGCAGGGTTGAGAAGTTACTTTATACAAGTATCTAGTTACAGTTTTTTCGCTAAAAATGTAACTAGTTACATCACAAGTTACCAGTTCTGAAAAGCGACGTGTTACAGTTACTCATTAAGTAACGAATCATTACTTTGCCGTTACTTTCTTGCAATAAAAATAAAAATCAACTAAGAAGAATTCTTCAATGTCGCCAGCGACAATTAACAACGTCATAAGTAACTATTAATGTAACTGAGTTAAGTTACAGTTGCAGACGGAAAGAAAGTAACGAAGTTAAGTTACCAAAAGAAGTATAACTGCAAGAAGTTACTGTAACTTCGTTCCAAGTAACGAGTTGCTTCCCAACCCTGTGTGCATGTGTGTACCGTCTCGAGACAACCTCGAGCAAAAGTTTGCACGAGTAGCCAAGGAAATATTCGACTTTCTCTTCCGATTGTAGGACTAAACTTTTCGACAGTACTATCGCGATACAACTACCTTAACATTTTCGCGAGGAGAACGTCGGCGCGAGCTACAATTTGCGACGTCGCTCCTACGTTGTCGCCAATTGTACAAACAATCGCCTCTCGAACAAATCGCCGGGGAGCGATACGCTCGCGCGAGCGAGCGAGCGAGCGGCCTGCGCGTTTTCTTTAATTTTCCGCGCGAGTGCTCTCGTTTTTAATTCAAACTTAACAATTCAAATTGCCCGTGGGTTCTCGACGGTGATTTCCTTCGCGACGTCTCAGCGGCGCGCCTCTTTATTATTTTTTTTTTCCTTTTCTCGAGTACACGCGACGCGGCGTATCGCGTTAAACGCTGCATAATTGCGTAAGGTTTCATAACACGCGCCGCGCCGCGCATTCACGGACGCCCGCGCGGTCTCCGATTCTCCGAACGACAGGTAATATCGGGAAGGTTGTGCCACGGGGCATCGGAGAGGCCGAGCAGTGATTCACGCGTTGACGCCACGGGTCACGTGTCACGCGGTGCAGCGTGATTCTCTTAAGGCCCGAGCACGCGAAAAAAACTTATGCAGTAAAACCATAGTATAGCTGGGTGCTTTCCAGCAACGTAAACAGGCGGCACTGCGTAACACAGTGAGTCATTTTTATCTTTGTTGTTTGTCATTATTAAACAAGGATGAAATGATTCTGTGTTACACCGCGTCAATCTGTGTCTCTCTTGCTGGAAAGCACCCGCTAGTATGTTCACTCTGCCATGTGTTTCGTTTTGCGTCGATCTCTTCTGCGCATCCGACATTGTTCTGGGCAGACCAATGAGAGAAAAGTTGTATGTGTGGTAGTGCAGCTTTGATACACTTACCACACATACAACTACAGTACGTAGACACAGATACGCCGCTGGATTGCTGCCCAAAATAATGGCAAAACACACCACGTGATCGGGAGCGCAAAGATTAATGGAGCCGACAGAGAAGTGGACTTACTAGTTAAGGCCCGAACACACGACAAAACTTAAGCAATAAAACTTCAGACTTAAGGGAAATGACCAATAAAACTGTCGAGAACGTAAGCAGACATTTTGAAACTTTTGAAGCTAAAAATTCCGATTGGTTGAAAGTCTCACTGCTTAAGTTTTCC